CATATATTACAGCAAGCTGTTTGCTTATTGTTTTCATAATAACTAACATGTGTAATCACATGTACTTGAAATGACCCGCGTGATCGGCCTATCAACTACACGATTGTTAACACATATTCATATACATATACATATAGATATATATATCGATATCATATTTACAGAAAGTGTGCGCATGAATCAGGACCATTGTTTCCTTCAAACAAACATAAGTTTTCGTGTTTCATAACAAAAACAGCTGCCCATGATTGCAAATATGCTTCTATATCGATAATATAATGTACACGTGTTTCCACGGCAACGCACAGTGCTATGCGCAGTGTTAAATCATTATTTATTGGCCTCATTTGACGGTTCCTGTAGTCGATTTTTTCGCCCACTAAATGTTTTAAAAACTGATATTATAGTTAAAATACATTGTATAAATTGGACACACGTGAGGAAGACAATTTACTGGAACGCTAAATCCCCCAAAAATAACGTTTTCTGGATCAGCGCGTGTAAAACAATATATCATTTATCTGTTTATTGTGTGATCTCGCGTTATGCGTGAAATCAAAGGGAGAAACAAAACAAACAAAAGTCATAGCGTCGTAATGGCGACAAAACATCTCGTGAGATTCGCCAAACGCGAATTTATTTCCACGCTTAGTTGATTAATATGGTCAATGTTGATGAACTAAGGACACCTCAACACCATATTCCCATCTGAAATGTCGGCATTTTTGACATAGAACTATAAAAAAGGGAAATTCAAGTCGAAATTCATTCTATGATTTTTGCACAGACATTAAAACCACGCCTTTCACGTATCACGCGAGATCTCATAGTAAACGGGAAATCACCCACTGCGGAAACGAGTTGTTGAGCGCGCTGTCGTTAATACTCAATTGTTTTAATAATTGAATTTGACACGATTATCGGCGGATTGTTCATGTATCATGATTAATTTTGTAATTAACGACGGACGGAAACTCATGTTGTACTTATTTAGGCCGTAGGTACATAGAATCTAAAGAAAAAGAGAGACTTGAACCTTGAAAAGCACTGAAGATTGTGTTTTTTGTAATTAAGGTAGAATTCTACTCATAAATCAATCAGTCTGTTATTATTTTGCAATACATTGTACTCCCAGTCAATACAACAATACTGACTTGAGAAAAATATGTTTCGAGGCCAATTTATCAGTATTATAGCACTTTTAAATTGGTTCTCACAGCGGAGAAATTGTGCCATTTCATAATTGGTGAATAGAATATAGTACATTTGTATCCGGAATTATTTCAAATACCTGCGTTTTAAAAAAATGACAAGAACGCATCTTTTGTCAAACTTCGTATTCTATAGCATTGCAATTTCTTGTATTGGGAAAATAACAGAATTTTGTAATATACGATGATTCTGTCCACGAAAGTTCTTAAACCATAATTTTAACAAACGTTTCTCAACATTTCATCCGACCTACATTGCTTGAAGGACTCTCTTCTGTGCTCGTGTGCCATGTTTCAAATTCTATTTTTCTCGCAAATTGTATGTAACTAGCTGCCTCGGTTTCTGTGTGCATTCATTTAGTTATTTGTTCAGTTTGTCACGGAGCATTGTTAAGACCATAACTCATTTAATAATTCAAAGCTGTTTACATCTGTTTATTTTCAGTTTCCATAGGCGTTATATCGTTTTACCATCTCCAACCACCGCAATGTCTATTTCAGGTAATGGCACAATAGACGGTTGTAAAAATGCCTATTCGCAGCGGAATTCGTGACCCGTGATGAGAGGTCAAAATGGTTAGTATAGACTGTTGCGATACATACAAACATTGGGTCACGTGATCTCGTGTCACTGGATGGTACAATATACATGTACTTGTTTACACTGTATTGAATGACAATAATGTATGTGCAAAGACAACTCATCTGAGATGTGAATGGTTGGGTTTGTGGTAATATCCGGGAAAAAAATTCTGAAAATACAAAAATGAATGTTGTCGGATCTCCAAGAATCAGTATTAATCGTGAAACCTAGATATTATCGTATGGTCTATATACAAGCTTATAAAGTTTGAGTGAATATTTATGACGCGAAAGAAACCACGAACACATACACTGGTAGTTGATATTGGAGATCATTCCGCCAAGACATAATTTATTCACACAAATGGGACAATAAATCACACAAGTTATTTGTGTCTCTAGGCTTCATTAACAGTCAGTGGGGTTATTTGCATACGCGTACCGCTTTGATATTGACCCCGATGTTTTCGTGAAATTGGAATTTAGTGTCACGTTTCACTCCAGGACAAATTGCGTGAACCAGAGCAGAGCTAATGACCGATTTACTAGAGTGAGAAAGAACAATCCGTTAAAACATATGCACCCACAAAACTGTACCTGGCAAACACTAACACTATTACCGACGCTAAATTAAGCGTAATAAGATCTGTATCACCGCGATATGGGTATTTAATTTCAAATTTAATTGCAGTCTGGCTCTGTAAGTGACTTTGAAATGCGAGAACCATGTTCGCGAGAAACAAAGATTTTCTTTCTTCCAAATGATATATGAGTTTGGAATCTAACAATCGATGAGCGATGAACACCATATAGCATGCGAATTAGGGAATGATGTCACTCAAGTTATTAATCGCACCGAAACATTTCAACCAGTTACGGATACCTGAAATTTTCCGGAGGACTTGATAGGTATTAGCATATGTTTAAAAATGTACAGTAATGACGTAATACACGCAATTGGAGTGTGCCGAACTCCAGCACTTCTGCGCATTGGTAAGAAGGTCGTCGTTGTAATAGCATATAATAATTATTCTAATGTGCGATTATGACGTCACGTGTACGTGGAATGGAGAGGAATCAACCACAAAGTCCGGATTATGATCGATTTCCAGACATCACGATTTATTACATACTCCGTATCTTATTAACTCATCCAGTAATCATTAATCAGTCAACGACGACGGTGTCTTAGGCATGGAACGCATAGGTTCGACACTTACCTTATTATCTACTACATCACGTCTCTAACTCACGTGGAATAGCTTTCAAATTGATTTCGATCTTATACTGGTTTGTGCCGTTTCATCACTTCTCGCTGACAGCACATCCATATGGAACAACCCAACACGATTACTAAGAGTGACCACACCTCTCTGTTGGTTTGAGTAATTTTAGTATGAAATACCTACTGTGACTGGCGCCCTCTTTTCGGCCGCAACAAGATAGACGTGATCTGATGTGTCGACTATTGATGGCGCTATTACCTATTATACTGGCAAGGGACAAACATGGTCATTTTAGTTCATCAGCCGTATTTGAAATTTAGATTTTACTATCGCAGACAATTGAACCATGTGGTTCCGTATTTGAAACACATGCTGGCAACGTTTAAGATGTTTAACTTTCCGATATTTCGATACCAGATCTTCAGCACGGGTCTCCTCGAAACTTACATTTGTTGTAGAACTAAAGTCTCTCGCTGACTGCTTTCAGAACACACGATAATTGCTGCGTGTATTCTACCCTGGCAGTGTCAATAGAAATGAATTGACATCGACAGTACACGCGCTCATTGTTACAACCATTCCATGACTGGGATTCCAAAACCATGACCATAATCTAAATATATATACATAATTATAAAACGCATTTAGTCAAGGTGAACACTTTAAAAATTTTGTATTCCTATCGCCGTATTGACTATACAATGCCACAACGGAAATGTTAGGGTACCCGACTCGTAATTGCAGGCGCCGATCAGTCGTTTATAAGTGTGTTTTGATGAGCGTCCCCCGAATGATCGAATAATAGAATGGAAACGCATCGGTCAGTTCTTTGCGGTAGTGAGTCCTCATTTCAATTCGTAGCAAGGCTCAAAGCACGAATTGAAACGAATGCAAGCCTGGACACTGAACCCATGATCATTAACTTAACGTGTGCGTTGCATCCGCTACACACTCAACACGCCAGAGATTAATGCCTTTTGAGGTCAGATTTATTGAAGACACCGTTAACATCATAATTATCAAGTTCTTCGCGTCTAATGTGTTTGGGTGTTTAGTGATTCGTCATTTAATATACATGTATTTCAGAAACATGTAGCCTGTCGACTGAGATAGCTCCGCTGTTAGCAATGCACATTACAATTAAAGAACAGAAGATATCATCACAATATGAACAAATCTGAGAGAGGTCTAGCTGAGGTACCTATATGTATAGTATCAAAGCAATCAGAATTGTGGTTTTTAACAAGAAGTCGAAAATATCACTTTTTACCAAAAATGACAAAAATATTCATCAAAATTAGAGAATTGAAGATATCATTACGAAATAAACAAATCTGAGAGAAGTCTACCCGAGGTACCTATATGTATAACATAAAAGCATTCAGACTTCCAGTTTTTAACAAGAAGTCGAAAATATCACTTTTTACCAAAAAAGGCAAAAATATTCATTCAAATTAAAGAATTGAAGGAAACGTCATGAAATGAACAAATCTTAGAGAGGTCTACCCAAGGTTCATCTACACCAAGTATCAAAGCATTCAGGCTTGTAGTTTTCAAGTCGAAAAAGTAGAAAAGTTGACGACGGACGCCGGACGAAGGACGACGGACGCCGACGGACAATCACTCTTATGATAAGCTCCGCTCGGCAAAGTCGACAGCGGAGCTAAATATCTAAAACTTAACGAACGATCACTGATCAAAATGTGGACGGTCTTCCCTTAACTCATCTTTGTCTGATTTCACGGTGTAGTTTGATTAATATACTGAGTAAATGTCTAATAGTTCTAAATTAATAGCACAATGTTAATCTTTAGACCTTCTTGTTCAACAATCGTTGTTAAGGGGTGGTTGTCGCGCAGCGCGTGTTCAAATTTCATGTAAACCAACAATGTATTTTACTCGCGTTGTGTACGTCGCTTTGAGTCCCATTCCGAACAGGACGCGGCGCGACGACCACCGTCCTTTAATATGAATTATAAATTCACAAAACTGTATTTTCAGTGGCCACCGCCAAATTCTTCTCATCGATGACGTCATCGCTCATGGCAATGCTCGCGCCATCGGTATCTTTCCAGTCTTTCTCCGTGGCATGCATCTCATCCACAAGTCGCATTTCCGACGCCATTTTGTCGTCGACGATGGCAGTGTTGATTACGTAACTTGCACCGTTCACGCCTCCTCTCATAGCGTCTCTGTAAAAAAGCGTATTTTATCTTGTTATTTTTAAGTATATTGCAAGCATCCTCACATTAAAGCGAGGAGTCGGCAAATGCGCATGCGGCAGGCAGCCATATCGTGTCATTGTTTACAAGCAAGCGTCTACCCATGAGCCATTGCGTTTTTAGCGTGCGTTGTTATTGTCGCTTAGGACTCAATTCCTGTGCGTGCCCAAGTGACCACTCTTCTGCTTCAATTAGTATAAAAAAAACATAGTAAAATTATAGATCACCTTGCCCATGATTCATGATGACGTTTACTTCATAATGGATACAAACCCAAATGAAATAACTATCAATTTATTAAAATGTTTTCTTTAGCTAAGAGCATATGTGCTTGTAGATAAGTTACAGGACTTTCAGCTTAGAACAGATGTATGGGCAAAATGTTTGAAGCGCGGT